AAAGAAGGTTCCCGGTTCCGCCAAGACCAGCTGCCATCAAACGACCAAGACCACAGGCAGAAGCGAAAAAGAAGGTATTCAAGGGTGACCGAACTGGTGAAAAAAAGGAAGCTTCTAGAGGAAGGCACTGAAGGGCGAGCCCCTACAAGAAGGAGGATAAATCAAACAACTATCTGCACTACTTTTAAGGACTGGGCCCAGAAAAGAATGTCCGAATATCACAAAGATAAGTAAAATTTTATGTTACTTTGCAAACTTAAGTTAATCTTTCATTCTTACTGCAAGTGGCAGATTTCAAGAAGTTTTACCTCATGCGAGGTCTACCTTTATCGCCAAAAGGGCGAGAAATGAGTGCTTACCGATTTTGGTATTATGTTTTTCAATTACTCGCGCGTAAAACTGAAGTTGATGTATAATAGCGTTGTGTAAAGACTTAAATATTGTAAAAAGTTATTGTATAAATATTATTTAAAACATTCTGGCAAGAAAGAAGTTTTAGTCTGAAAGACTTTTTGAAATGTATTATTTCAATGTAGAAAGAATTGGCACTTGCTTTGAAAAGAATAGAAGTTAACAATGTACTACTAATGTATGTTTTCAAATGTATAAAATTAACGGCAAGTTAATATGTTCTTATATACAATGTGAACTGTTATTTTAAATGTTAAGAAATACCGTGATATGGTAAAAGTGAAAGTAATGTTAAAATTTTTTTTATTCGTGTGACTGTAAAAAGACTAAATCATGGTGAATATGTGTTAAAGGTTGAATGATGTAGTTAGGCTCTCTGACGCTACACTTCAGAGTTAGCCACTTTCAGAATAGTAAGTACCTCAGGGTTTAGAGTTGAAATTAGGGTGTGTTACGAGGTCTTGGTATGTTGAATTTTAACACGTTAGTGTTTTGATTGTAGGAGGAAGTGTTGAACACATAGACATAAACACATTCGTGTTTGGTGTTCTTTTACAACACATGTCAGAGAGCACGGGGAGAGATAATTAAAATAGTCATGAATGAATAAAGAATGTTAAGAGAAATATAATTATACATGTTACTTGCCATTTCATTGTGTAACATTTCATTAAACTAGTTTCCTTCCAGATCTCTGGAAGGAACCAGATTTGAATAAAAGCTCCTGTTTAGATGCAGTACAGATGAAAAAATTGTGTATCCTGGGCCTGGGAGCTGCTATTGTAAAAACAAATTTCTTTCTTTTAAATTTCTAGTTTCTAGCGAAAATGTTTGTAAAAGATTGGCCTCACGTTAGATTCTAGAGCTAAAAGTTTTCAACAAGGTCGTTTTAGACCTCAGTTTCAAACTAATTAACTCTGGCGGGAAGTATGTAAGGATCTTAAGTTTTACTAACGTTTATTTTATTTTAAATCTTTACTATTACTTCTTATTTTCTACTTCCGGCCAGAATTATAAGCGTTAAAGTATTTATGCAAAGTTTGTCTGGCGAACGCCAAGTACTTAAGTTGTGGCTTTTTGCCAAGCGAGAGAGAGGAAGCAGTTAGTCGAAGCAGGCCGCTTACCTTAGAAGTTTGACTCAGTTGCTGGTTGCCGTCCAGGCCAGAGGTTTTAATCCTCTTGATAATTTTTAAAACGTATTGTAGTGTTCACAGTTCTCTGTACTACATACGGCTTCCTGTTAATATAAGGCCAATCTTCCACGTTTATTATTTTAAAGTTAAATTAGAGTTTAGTTTTATTTTTATACTTTTACGTTTTGACCCCAAGTAGCGGGTCTGTGTATTTCCGAAGTACGGAAGTTATTGTAAATAGAGAAAAATAAAGGGTTTTGTATACCCTTCTTGTGTATCCTGTCTACTTCCCACAATTGTTGAACATAGCTTTAGTAAGCTCTCTGTTCCGAGTCAGGTCCTTGCATGTTCCCGAAGAAGGTTAAACGGAACATTGAACCTGATAGTCTTAATACTGTACTTAAGAATTAGTCTAGAGCAGCGATTCTTAACCAGTGGTACAGAAAGAAACAAAGTATTTTTAACTATTAAATTTAAAAATCTTGCAAAGAAAAAGAACAACTGATAGAAATTTCCTGTGATCGAACTCTTAACTGAAGATTTCAAAAATGGCACATTTGTTAACTTTTGGCTAAATCGAAAAAAAGAATTTAAAGACATTTCAAATAAAGCTATCAAATTTGTATCGCCTTTTTACACAACCTTTTTGTGTGAACAAGGATTTTTTCCATGTTATATTTGAAGTATAAATACAGACAGACAGACAAAGTAGACAGATGTCTTGTTTTGCACCTACTAAGTCTTTCTGCACCGATGGCCGAAAAATCAAGCGTAGGTGCGAAGGAAAGGTATATAGAAAGAAGGGCAATTTCGTATTTGAGGAGAGTAAAAAGGAACTTCGTACATTTTGTACGAGTTCAAAAGGCCAGAAAGAAAAGATGGGACAAAATAAAATTTAAAATAAATGGCCCAAAAATAATAGAGGGGAAAAAAAAAAAAGGGCCTATAGAAAGAAAAGGAAAAGAAGTAGAAAATATCCTAAAATACGATTGTGTCCATGAGTGTAGTTAAGGAGTTCATCTGCAAAAATTAGTGTCTTTAAGAAGCAAACTTTAGCTAAGTTAAAAAAAAAATAAATAAAATGAATGAATTCCTACATGGTAATGTGTATGCCCTTATCTTGAGACCTAACTAGAAAAGACATATATCATCACAGAGATGTACATAATATTTTAACTAAAGTAACATTAACTATTACCGTTCCCAAAAAATTCATGTATATTTCAGAAAAACAGTAATTGACAAAATCATAAATCCATACACAGTGTGAGAGCATTTCAGCAAAAATAAATTATACAGTTTATTTTTCTTAAATATTAGTTAAATATAAAATTAATTTATTAATTTAACCGTTGTAATTTATTATAGTACAAGTTTAACAAATTCCGTCACACTGTATTTATATTTGCTCATAATTCTAAGTTTGAGACCTGAAAAAAAAAAAAAAAAAAAAAAGTCGGGGATCTTAGTTACAAAAAATCACAATCTATACTCATCGATGGTCAAGAGATCCCCATTTTTTCCCTCTCAAGAAATTCCTAAGCACGAAGAGGGGGGCCTCCGAAGGGTGTGAATTGCTGATAAGAACGGACTACTGATAGAAGGGCGTCTGACGGTAGTTCGATAGACTCTTTGCCTTTTAACTAAACTATTCCGTTCTCGACTCTCACGGGCTTGGTTTTTTAATTGCCCGAAAGCGTGATAAACATATATTGGAAACGTCTATTTATCTTCTTTGATTTTCTTTTATTCACCGTGCTGATAAGGGTACCTTCGGGTACGGCCTCTAGTTAGGCCTTTTTTCCAACTTATTTGCCTCATATGATTAATCAATATGACACAACAAAAATAACTGTAACTAATAATAACACAAACATGGAAACATAACTGTCACTAATAATAACACAAACATGGAAACAACTGTAACTAATAATAACACAAACATGGAAAATTCACCTCCAAACTCAGAAAATTCTCACATGAGACATCTCAATGATGAACCCAACGTTCTTCAAATATTAAGTCACAAAATTACTTTATCCAATGACGTCGAAACTACCAGATCCTTGGAGGAAGATATCCAAGATATCCGTAACGACCCAAATGTGATTATGTCCGCTAGTGATAAAAAAGAACTAAACTTTCTCCTTGAAAAAGCAATTAATCAACTGCGTATGCAGGAAAACGAGATGGCCAATGCAAAAATAAACGAATTACAAACCTCTAACGAAAAGCTCGCTAAATAATTTAAAGAGATTACAAATTTCTGCGACATACTTCAATCCACTACGGAATAGTTACGAAGAAAAGAACCACGACTTGCTACTATTACTAACTATTGTATAATGCTAGAATCTTATGAAAATAATAAATAAAGAAATTTAATGGCACTTTAGTGATAGAGAATAAGATATTGTATAGAGAACAGAATGTTACTTATCTGAATATTCCGTGTCAGGGTTTCTTTTGGATTTCTCGTGTTGATAGTGAGCAGCGAACAAGATATTTGAAGTTTCGAAGAAGCGCAGTTTCCTTTTTCAATTTGATGAATGAGACATTGCATAGGAAAGGTGCATTAAACTTTTTCAGAGATTTGAAAAAACATTTACTGAAACACTTATTTAAAAATTTCGGAGCTATGTTTAGACACTGCCTCCACCAAAATCAAAAGTGGATCCTAATTTACGGTTAAAGCTAAATGAAATAAGACCAGACATACAGAAATTGACCTTGTGCCCACAGCTACTAATGTTCAAAATAAATTAAGATTAGGAACAGCAAAAATTACAAACAAATAGCTAAGTTTATTGCATTTTATTTTTCAGATATCGAAATGAGACGATACTAGAATAATATCGTTCGGAAACCAAAGTAATCATGAATCAAACTCGTTGCCATTCAGCATAAAGAAATATAAGTATGAATGTTATTAAAATGTTTAAGTTAATTTTATAAAATAATTAAACACATGACAAAATATAAAATACTTAAAATAAAAAATAATTATTTCTTATGCAATAACTGAACGACTACTCTACTGCCCCACCAGTAACTAAATTACATTACGAAGGTGGAGAAATAGGCAGTAACTAATATTGCAGTGTTTACCTCACTCAGAAGAATTTAGATTCAGTCCTTGAATCTAACAGGTAAATGTATAGTTCTGCCTGTGCAAGAATGTTTTTGAATCACATCTGAATTTGAATCTGGTCTCTGCAATTTGCTGTTGTCCCCATCTAAAAGGGAATATTTACTATCTCATTTGCATAGATAGATTTTCAAATTTGATGGAAGCAATTCCTTTAGGTAACATTTCAAAATAAAAAATAATTATTTCTTATGCAATAACTGAACGACTACTCTACTGCCCCACCAGTAACTAAGTTACATTACGAAGGTGGAGAAATAGGCAGTAACTAGTATTGCAGTGTTTACCTCACTCAGAAGAATTTAGATTCAGTCCTTGAATCTAACAGGTAAATGTATAGTTCTGCCTGTGCAAGAATGTTTTTGATTCACATCTGAATTTGAATCTGGTCTCTGCAATTTGCTGTTGTCAGGTTTTGTTAGCTGAGAAATTTCCTTAGCTAAAATATAAGCTGGTTTCAAGCGATCCAGGGATACATTAATATGTTTTCCTTTTATGCTAATCGTAAAATATTCGTCCGTGCGATCAATAACAGGGAATGGTCTGTCATAAGGAGGCTCCAAAGGTTTCTTCACCAGATCTATTCACTAAAACACAAGAACAATTTTTTAAGTTCTTATGTACAAATATCCGTTCAGATGAATTTTTACGAATTTGTCTGGGTCTGACAACTTCCATCTGTTTCTGGAGTTTATTAGCAAAAGTCTCTCATGCTGCCTGGATACTTGGTTCGCTGAAAAACACTCTAGGAAGTCTGAGACTCTGGCCATAAACTACTTGCGCAATAGAATGATTTGTATCTTCTTGAATAACAGTACGCAAACCCAAAAGTACTGTTGGTAATGTGTCAGTCCAAGATATGTTGTTGCGAGCTTTTAATGCTGTTTTTAATGTTTTATGAAAGTGCTCAACTTTGCCATTACACAAGGGGTGGTAGACAGAAGTGTGTTGTAAATTGATGGCACAGATCTTGGATAAAGCTCGTAATGTATCACATTTAAATTGGGATCAATGATCACTAGCAAGTTTGCTTGGCGTTCCAAAATGCGCAATTCTGTTGCTATAAAAGGCTCTTGCGTTATTCTCAGCTGAAATGTTACCTAAAGGAATTGCTTCCATCAAATTTGAAAATCTATCTATGCAAATGAGATAGTAAATATTCCCTTTTAGATGGGGGAAGTGGTCCTATGAGATCGATATGGTTTACATTAAAATATTCCTGGTGGTACTTCAAACTCACCTAATTTTGTTTTGGTATGCCAGCTGATTTTAGCTTTTTGGCAAAGAATGCATGTTCTAGTCCACAATTGTACATCTTTCCTAATGTAAGGCCAAATTAATTTTATGTTATTAACTTCATTCAACAGTCGATTTTATTCCTGGATGTGATAAAACGTGAATTCCCTGAAAGACGTTTTTTCTGAAAACCTGAGGAATATTCGGCTGGATGTTTTTAATTGATGTATCACACCACAAATATTTCGCTGAAGGCAGAGGACATTGCTTTAAATTCAAGGAAGTAGTGGTTTGCAAACTCTTCATCTTGAGTCTGTTCATCAGCTATTTTATCATAATCTAACGATGAAATTTCACTAACTCTAGATAATGTATTGGCTACAATATTATTCTCACCTTTTATACACTATTTAATATCAGTTGAAAATTGGAAGATATAATGAAGTTGGCGAGCTTGTCTAGGTGTTGCTTTGTCAAGTTTTTGACGAAAGGCGAATATTAAAGGTTTGTGATCTGTACAAATTGCAAATATAAGAAAGCATCTGAATATTTTGTTGCACTTTCGTTTGTTACAATGTCCCAAATATTTTCGACGAACTTAGGTTCAAGCTGTGAAAAATAAATAATTAAATTCTGTTTCTTCTGAAATGATATTACTAATTTTGAACTGTGCTTCAACTTAAACAAACCATATTTCTGGTTTATCAGTACAAAAAGGAGGTATTTTTACACTCACCTTATGAAGATCCAGTGACTGTGTCGACTTTTTCACAGCAGTTTCAGAAGAGTCATTTGTTGACATTTCAAAAAATAAATCATGGTCACTAAAATGTTTCTTTGGCTACTAATGTTCAAAATAAATTCTAGATAATGCTTGAAGTGTCTAATTGAAAAATATATGCTTAACAGTTCTCTATCATAAGTGCTATATTTTTGCTAGTATCATTTAATTTTTTTGGAAAAAAAATGCTTTTGGTTTCCAAGACGAGTTTTCATATTGTTGCAACACTGAGCCAATCGCCGTATCTGTAAATAACGCTAGAGGTAGTTCAGAATTGGTAAAGGACAACAGTGCCGTTTTCACCAGGTCATTCTTGCACTTTTCAAACTGTTTTTCAACTGCTTCAGTCCATTGAATTTAACATTTGTCCCTTTTTTTAGATCCCTTAAGATACTCATGAAACAATGCTTGATTCTTCACTGCATCTTTTAGGTAGCAACGATAAAAGTTAAATATTCCAAGAAAAGTTCTTAAGTTCATGAATAGTTTATGGTCGTTTGTAGTTAGTAATGGCTTGAACTTTTTCTGGCAAAGAACAGAAACTCTGAGGTGTAATTAGGTAGCCTAGAAACTCGATTTGTTGAGCAGAAACATATATTTTGAAATATTTATACTTAAACCAAATGTATTTAGTCTTTCAAAAACTATTTTAAGGTGATTTTCATGTTTTTCATGAGTACTAGATGTAATGAGTATAACGTCTAAATAGGGAAAAATGAATTCTAAGCATGTAAAGACTTCGTGAATAAACTGTTGGAACTCATTACATTAAATTCGTACAAATGAAAGGAGCCGTTTTACATGTCTTCTTCTGCAAATGGGAATTTGAAAATAAGCTTTGAATAAATCAATTTTAGAGAAAATATTTGTACCTTTTAAAAAATGATGAAAATCTTCAATCCGAGGAATTGGGTATAGATCAGGTATCGTCTGCGCATTCACTCGACGGTAGTCCCCGCAAGGCCGATATGAACTGTCCTTTTTTGTAACAAGGTGTAAAGGGCTTGACCACTGGGTGTTTGATGGACAAATTATTCAATTGTCAAGCATAAATTTAAATTCCTCTTTAGCTAAGCGTTTTGGATCGAGTTGTCGTGCCTTTGAATACACGAATTGACCATCAGTCATAATAAAATGTGTAACACCCTGTTTAATGTATGTAGGAAAAAGGTTAGGTTTAGAAATTTCGGGATATTTCGACAGTAAATCGAAAATTTTTATGGATTTATTTAATGTGGTTACTGAGTAATCACTGGAAATAGCAGCGACATCACACTGGACACAAAGCTGTGTTACCCCATCAATTAATTTTTTTCTTATTTATATCGATAAGCAATTTATATTTGTGAAGAAAATCAGCTCCTAAAATACCTTTTGCGACATCAGCAATAATGAATGGAAACTGAAAATCACGATGTAAACCCAAAATAAGAGTTAGCATTTTATGCCATAGGTCGAAATATCTTTGTCATTAACTGCATACAGTTTATATTCACTTTTACATTTATTCTGCAAAGTAGCAGGAATTACGCTTACGTCAGCTTCGCTATCAACCAGAAAGTACAAATTAGATCTTTGGTCATGAACGAATAAATGAAATTGCAACAATCCTTCATATTTTCTGCACAAGTGTTTACCACTAAACCTACTGAAGATTCAAGTTTTCCTGGTTTTTGGAATTGTTGTTTACCCAAGCACACGGAGGCCAGCATTTCTCTGGAATACATTTTGCTGCAAATCGTGATAGAAACAAAATTTGCCAGTAGGGCAAAACAGTTTACGAGTAAAAACAATTTACGAGATTGTGAACTGGAATTACGTGCATTCGAGTCCCTGTGCCTTGAATGAATGGTTATTTGATCAAATTTTTGTTCAAGAGAGTTAATTTTTTGCTACAAATCATTTACAAGAACGAAAGTGGCATTAGCACTAAATACTTCTGATTTTCGATTCATATCATTAATTTTATCTGCCATAGATGCTAACTTGGTTACATATTTATCACCAACTTATAATTTACTTTTTATTGATTAAGGTAGCTTCTCAAGCCATATTGTTTTGATTAAATTTTCAGACACATCTGTAGTAGCAACTGATCTCAACTTCTGCAAAAGGTGACTTGGTTTTATGTCTCCAAGCTCTATAACAGTAATCAAACCTTTAATCCATACATTTTCACTTTTTTTTAAATAAATGTAATAACCTAGTTTTAGCATTCGAATATTTTGTAGCATTTTCATTTGTTATAATGTCCAAAATATTTTTGCCGAACTTAGGTTCAAGCTGTGAAACTAAATAATTAAATTTCGTTTCTTCTGAAATGATATTACTAATTTTGAACTGCGCTTCAACTTGAACAAACCATATTTCCGGTTATCAGTCCAGAAAGTAGGAATTTTTACACTCACCTTATGAAGCTCGGATGACCGCATCGACTCTTTTGCAGCAGTTTCAGAAGAGTCATTTGTTGACATTTTGAAAATAAATCAGTCACCAAAATGTGGCCTTGGCTACTAATGTTCAAAATAAATTAACAAATAACTAAGTTTATTGCTTTTTATTTTCCAGATATCAAAATGAGATGCTACTAGAATAACAATGTTCGGACACCAAAACCAAAGTAATCATGAATCAAAACTCATTGCCATTCAGCATAAAGAAAAAAAAAATATGAATATTAACAAAATGTTTAAGTTAATTTAA